AAACATTTTGGTGTTTAATGTTTGGGTGACAACTGATTCCTTGGGATTAATGATGTTTTTTGGGATTAATTATCCAGGCTCCCATCTCAAATACTCGACAGTGAAGGGAGCACAGGGAATGAGGTTTCCCTGATGTTTTCCCAGGCACAAGCATTGGTTTGTTGGAGTTGCTATTGCCTGGGGCGACCTCGAGGTTGAAATTCAAATATTGTGGTGTTTAATCCTTGGACGACAACTGATTTCTTAGGATTAATGATGTCTTTTGGGATTAATAACCCAGGCTCCCATCCCAAATACAGGAATGATGGGTGAGGGAACATGGGCAGGAGGAGCTACTGGACACTGGGATGGTGTGGCAGGGTGAAATTGAAACATTTTGGTGTTTAATGTTTGGGTGACATTTTGGTGTTTAATGTTTGGGTGACAACTGATTCCTTGGGATTAATGGTGTTTTTTGGGATTAATTACCCAGGCTCCCATCCCAAATACAGGAATGATGGGTGAGGGAACATGGGCAGGAGGAGCTGCTGGACACTGGGTGTGGCCGGCCCTGCCAAAATTCCCTGATTTCCACCCTCTCTCCTCCCTCCCAGCCGTGCTACCTGCGGGACTGGGAGATGCAGGTGCACTTCAAAATCCACGGGCAAGGCAAGAAGAACCTGAACGGTGACGGCTTTGCCATCTGGTACACCAAGGACAGGATGCAGCCRGGTAAAAGGGTCTGGGGGACACCTYGRACAGGGATTGGAGYRAGCTGGACTYGTRGARAATATCCCTGAGGATGGGACTGGGGAGCCCTCGGGGCTTTCCCAGCACAGCCCACTCGGTGCTGAAGAGTTTCAGATCCTTTGTTTGAGCCTTATCCCAGCCTCTCTGTTTGCTGCCAGGGCCTGTGTTTGGGAGCAAGGACAACTTCCTGGGGCTGGGGGTGTTCGTGGACACGTATCCCAATGAGGAGAAGCAGCAGGAGGTGAGGCCGGAGGGGACGGGGCATGCTGCGGTGCTGGACACTGCTCTTCATCCTATTCTTCCTGTTCATCCCCTTCATCCCCTTCATCCCCTTCATCCCCTTCATCCCCTTCATCCCCTTCATCCCCTTCATCCTCCTCATCCTCCTCATCCTCCTCATCCTCCTCATCCTCCTCATCCTCCTCATCCTCCTCATCCTCCTCATCCTCCTCATCCTCCTCATCCTCTTCATCCCCTTCATCCCTTTCATCCTCCTCGTCCCCTTCGTCCCCTTTGTCCCCTTCACCCTCCTCATCCTCCTCATCCTCCTCATCCTCCTCATCCCCCTCATCCTCCTCATCCTCCTCATCCTCCTCATCCTCCTCATCCTCCTCATCCCCCTCATCCCCCTCATCCCCCTCATCCCCCTCNCCCTTCATCCCCTTCATCCCCTTCATCCTCCTCATCCTCCTCATCCTCCTCATCCTCCTCATCCCATTCATCCCATTCATCCCCTTCATCCTCCTCATCCCCTTCATCCCCTTCATCCCCTTCATCCTCCTCATCCTCCTCATCCTCCTCATCCTCATGCTCCTCTCCCCATTCCTTTTCCACAGGTTGGGTTTGTTTCTTTGTCAGGAGAAGCTCAGGTTTGTGGTCAGTTTTTCCCACAGGAGAGGGTTTAGGGCAGGAAGAGCTGAGCTGTGAGTGTTYCCCACATTGGGAATTTTGCTGTTTRGGGTTGCACCGGGAGTAGGGTCTGAGTAAACCCCGAGTGGAGGCTGAGGAGCCTTTCTCTGCTCCCAGGGGTAGCTCTGCCTCTTGGAAAGGTGTAAAATTCTTCACATTCCTGTTTTTTTGGGGTTTGGTGGTGCCGTTCCTGTGGAAAAGGAYAAACCCGGGCTGCTCCCACCCTGATATCACAGAATCCTGGAATCCTGGGATGGTTTGGGTTGGGAGGGACCTTCAGTCTCACATCCAGTGCCACCCCTGCCATGGCAGGGACACTTTCACTGTCCCAGGGTGCTCCAAGCCCCGTCCAGCCCAGCCTTGGACACTCCCAGGGATGGAGCAGCCACAGCTTTCCTGGGAAMCCTATTGCTGGAAACTTCATCTCTCCTAAAACCTTTTCCTAATTCCAATTTCCCCTAAAACCGGTGATATTTTACCCCAATATCAACATTTTACAATCTCTGAGCACACTGGGGGTAACTCCCAGCCTTTATCCCGACACCCAAAGCCTCCAGCTCCCACTTGGTGCTGGGAAAAGCCTTCCTAAAATGCGGGATTAGCGGGGTGTGGGATGGATCCCTGGATTTAGGGTGGCACCTCTGCTCTTCCAGGATAAGCAGTTCTTAATTAGAGGCCATAATTAGCAGAATGGGGGAGCAGGAGTTGATCAGGCCCTGGGAGAAGCTGTTGCTGTGGGGGTTTCCAGCTGCTTGTTCCCACTTCCAAAAGGACAAAAAGGATTTTATTCCTGAGGGAAGAGGGGCAACTTGGCTGTGGGTCCCAGTGGCCGTTCCTGGGATTTGGCACTTCCACCTTGCCCCCCTCACTGCTGGAGTTCTCCGGGGGGAATTTCCTGGGCTGTGGGTCCCCGAGCCGCCACTGTATCTCAGGATTTGGCACTGCCACCTCCCCCCGTCGCTGCTCCCATCCCTGGAGTGCTCCAGGGAGAATTTCCTGAGCTGTTGGGTCCCAGAGCTGCCGCTGTATCCCAGGATTTGACATTGCCACCTTCCCCCAT